ATGCTGATGATTCTGCTGAATGCAAGAATGATACTGTTGATGATGATGACGATGAAGATGATGATGATGATGATGATGATGATGCTGATGGTGATGATGATGATGCTGCTGATGATGGTGATGCTGTCGATGATGACGATAATATGATGGTCATGTTGTCGATGATGATGGGGGTGATGGTGATGGCGACGGCTGTAGCGATGACAATGGTGATGGTGATGGTGATGATGATGTTGAGGATGATAATGCTGATACTGATGGTACTGATGATGATACTGATACTGATACTGATGATGATGACGATGATGACAGTGATGATGATGATCCGGCAACGTGCCTTCAGCACGTAGGGGAGTGCCCCATGGCCCCTGCAGCCCTGAGAAGGTCAAGAGCTCAAACGTTCTTGAAGGGCCAGGGCCCCCGGATTCCCAGGCGCCGGCGGGCCCTCCTGGGCGTCACTGGGGTGTCGCGTGGGCCTCTCGGACGGCGACCCCGCCAAACAGGGCCCAAAAATAAGCGCAGAGGGCCACGGAAAGACTCCAGAGTGCCCAAGAAGCCTCCGAGACGGCCGAAGAGCTTTCCCATATGCCCAAGATAGCCTCATAACGCCTCCAAAGGTCCACCACGCGCCTCAATGGAGCTCCAAGAGGAGCCTCCAAGAGAGCCCCGCGAAACAAAAACCGGCCCATTCCCTTCAGAAAACGCACAGTTTGGGCTTCGTCGCCTTCTTGGTCATAACAGCGCCCAAGTCGGCCCAGGAAGCCTCCACGGCCGCCCCGACACGGCCCCAAAGGCCCCCAAGATCGCCCCAAGAAGGCCCCAGAGGCCCTTTTTTTTCTTTCTTTCTAGCTCATGAGAACCAGATCCGAAGGAGAGCAGTGGCCACGCAGAATCTAAGCGAAATGCGAAGCGCTCTTAGCTGCCCACGGGGTTGTTCCCTGAGGAGGCTCAACCTACGAAGTCGACGTAAATTGCGAAAAGATAAGGTCCACTCTCGGCCAGATGCCGCACGGGCCCCGCCAGCGCAAGCCCGATGCACGCAACGCCCTGAAGGCCCGGCTGGCCTCAGGCACGCGGACCCTTGCCTTTGCTGGGACCTTTGCCTCTCGAGCGACCAGTTTTCCCCTCGCCCCCTCCACGCGGCCCCCTAGGGGCATCTACTGTCGGAGGGCCGTCCAAAAAGTCCGGGGGGCCAGGAACTGCCCGCTGCGCATTCGGACTTTCAGTGGGAGAGGGGGGGGGGGGGGCCGAAGACGAGGGCGGAGGAGCAGAAGGAGCAGGGGGGGAACAAAACCTCTTGACCTCAGCTCAGCCAAGCGCGAACTCGTCTGTAGAACTCTCGGGGCCCTTTCTACTTCCTCGCGTGCTCGCCCACGTACTGAGGACCCGCTCGAGCGGGCCGCGCGGTGGAGCGCCCGCCAGCCTCTTGCCGCCCTCGAACTCCACGAGCTTGATGAGCCACTGCTGCGCAACCGCGCCGCGCTGGTGGCGAGGGTCCACGTGCCACATCAGCGTGCACATCGGCGGCGTGCCCTCTTCCTTCTTGCGCACCTTCTCCATGGAGTGCGCGATCAACTGACCGACTGCGTTCGGGCCGCGGCACTTGCTCAGCACCTCGTTGAAGAACTCGAGCATCTCCGCGCCCAGCTTGGCCTCCTCTGCATGCTTCCGTAGACCCTGCCGCCGCCGTCCTCGTTGCTCCGCGGCCGAAAGCTGCCAGAAAAATTTGAACGTCAGCCGCGCCCCTTGCCTTGTGATCCTGCTTCTCGCCTGCCGTGCCTTGCGGGCTGCCGAGTCGTCGCTGTACTTTTTGCCTGCTTGCTGGCTGATCGCCACCACTCCCACCGCGACTGGTAGCCCGTACTTCGCGCACAACAGGGCGCCGAGATCGGCGATGTCATTCGTGTTGGTCAGCGCCAGCTTCACCGCGGGCAGCGCGATATCGTCCTTGCCGCCTTTGAACTTATTATTGCCCCTTCCCCCCGCCTCGCCCTGCTGGTCTTCTGGTTTGGTGGCGCCGCCAGCGGTGATGGACTGGCTGAACCACGACGGATGACGAGCTTCGACTCCTGCTCCATCCCTTCGAGCATATATGCTGACTGGTTGACTCCCTGCGGTCGGCCCAATGCTTCCTGGCAGATGGCTCGACGAGAGATGGCTGCAGGGAACATCAAGAGCGCCGCCTTCATGCGCACCGCATAAGCATTTCAACGATCTAGGCATGTTGAGAGGAAGTGGGGCACGGGCTGCTTCTGACAGCGCCCACGTTTAAGTGCGCGCGATAAGTGCTGCGCGGCTGTTCTTTGCGAAGCGAATGTTTGACGACAGCTGGTGCAAACATTCGTCGGAGTGAAAGCGAAGTAAGAGGATGCGAACCTGATGCGCCGACTTTATGCGCGATAGGTACGGCGGCCTCGTAGGGAAACCGGCTCCGCATCCAACTGCATTTTTGCTGTGCCTGCACGCGAAGACTTCCGACGGGCCTCGCCCTGGCGGCGGAGCAACGATCGGCGACGAAGCAAGCTCTTGAAATCCAGGAGGCGGGGCCCGCCTGCCGAACTCTCGACCCCTCAGCCCCGTGAAATCAATCATACAGACATCCCACATCGCTTCCTTGTCGGCGAAGAGGGCTAAATTCACAGCGAGCGGCTCGATCGCGCAATCTGGCAATAACACTACCGCTCGGCTCAA